TTTAGCCAGATGCATATTTATTTTGTTTTTATCATAAATTCACAGTCAAAACAAATTAAATGCAATCAGAACATAATTTGTGTTTTGACTGTGTATTTATTTATGGAGATTGTCTGATTTTTGCTCTCCAAGTTATATTTCTCTCTTGATTTTGAAATGTAAAGATATTACATTTTGGTTTACTGTAAGTTTGCCATGTATCTTACTTTTAGTAGGACGGTCCTACAATTATGATAACGTCCTACATCCTATATGAATTTATTTCTATACATGCATTCAGAAATTAATTGAATGTTTTTTGTGTTTCTTTTTAATTTTAAAAAATTAAAAAGAAACACAAAGAACATTCAATTAATTTCTGAATGCATGTATAGGATTTTGTGAACACAATAAAAATCTTCATTGACATTTTCTCCAACAATGAAAAGCACAGAATGATGTAGAACTGTTGAAATATGCAAAGAATGATAAAAGAATATAAGTTCGGACATAATGAATGAACAATATATCTGTATATATGATAATTTTTATCAATAATTGGATATGTCTAAATTATATAGCCTTATATTAAATTATTGTTACTGTCACCTAAAATAAATCATAATTTTATTAATAATATACTTAATTTTCTTTTATTAATTTTTTTTTGTTGTCAGTTTGTTCTACTTTAAGCATCTCAACATGTGGCAATGCTAGTTTTGTTTAACTTGGTTTGTGTTATTTTTCTCATCCACCTGGTTCATAATCAAACTATGAGAGCACTGAAGTAAGATTGCATTGTGAAAGATGACGCATTCCAGTATAGTTATCAGTCTCAGCCAAAACTGATTCACCGGTGAACTGTACAATAAGCTTTCACTGGAATGTCTGGCAACCTAACAAGATGGTGAAAGCAAACAGTGCTATATTGGCATTTGCAGACTAACTTTGTGAGAATAACTTTGGGTTGTTACAGATGAGTAGTGAAAATGGTATTAATAATATAACTAGCTCCAGTAAAGCAATATGGCTGCCTGTACGGCTATATTGCTTTGCTAGAGCTAACCATATCCATACCCTGATGAGTGCAATGTGCATCAGTCACTATACCAATGAACTCATTGGCAAATATTGGAACACATTTTAATACATTGCAGTTTGCCGATGCACTGTTTAATGCATACTGGAATGTACCCAGTGATTAGTCTTGTAATGTCTTCCCATTATGTAAAACTTCTGATCATCATTCATTCTAATCTATCATGTATTCACTTTATTGACACTGATGATGAATAAACTATTACATTATATAACTATACCAAAAAAAACCTTAGAATGCAGTGATACTTTTTAATCTAACATTTTTGGTTGTTTTTATTGATTTCCTTCAGGATAAAAACAACCAAAAACATTAGAAGATTAAAAAGTATTCACTGCATTCTAAGGTTTTTTTGAGGTGTGGTTATTTAATGGAAATGCATTATCCAAAGAAGTATTACACTACTTTATCCTAGAAATAAGGTGGACAGTTTTATTGATCTTGATGATCAAAGACCAATAAAACTTATGTTTACTGATTCCAAATCCCTCTTATAATAATAGAGATGCATTCTTGTATCAGTTTTATGAATAAACAAGAACAGGCATTTTTTTTTACTTTTACTTTTAATGAATGAATTATAGTGTTTTTCTAGTAAATGAGTTTGATTTTGCTTAATTATTTATTTATAGTCTAGTTCTAAGCCAAGTGAAATAAAATAATGGTGTCATTAGGATTATTGAAACACTTCCAACCTTCAGTAAGCCTATTGACTCCATTATTTTACTTCAAATGCAAAGCATAGAAAGTTTTAATTTGATTGCTTTCAGGATATAATAAGCCCATATTTATATCACTTAAACTTTTTTATAGTTGAATCTAAACACCCACACTCCATAAATAATTGGGCTATAATTTGGAAATAATAATTATGAATTACAAATGAATTTGGCACTAAAGGGCATTAGATGCCATCTCATATTAAACATAGTAATTATAATATTTAATTAATTTAGATTAAACTGGAAGAAAAGAATCAGCCCAAATCATTTGTAATTCATAATTATTATTTCCAAATTATAGCCCGATTATTTACGGCAGTATGTGTGTTTATTTGCTATGTGTCGAGTTTCTGTTGTTGTTTATATTTGTAGTTGAATTTATCTAAAGATGGTATTATTATATCTTGAAAACATTAATCAAATTAAAAATTCAGCTCTTTGAACATCTTTCAGCATTTTATTAGACAAATTTAAATTAACCTTCATATTCAATCAGTTACATAAACATTGATTTTATATTCATTTATTATTATTGTAGGGAACCCGTTCTTAATCAGCGGATTCCGCCCCGTCGGTTCGTCTCACCAATTAATCAACTAGTCCAATATTTCCACCAAAAAAAAAACTTTATTCCGCTCTCAGGGACCACTACTTCGCACTCCCTCTCGTGTCCTGAATTCCTCTCACAAAAATTCCTTCTTCCCGCGGTTTCTTCCCGGGTCTTAACGGCCCCTCGTTAGCGTGTGTCGATGGATAGATCGCGTCGATAGATAGATCGTATCTGCCCCGACGAAAACCCCCGGAGAGGGAGGACGAGAAGGTCCGATATCACTACAATTATTCCTTACCAATTTGAGCTATGTTTTATTAAGAAGTACTGTAAATCTCTAAATTAATTTTTAGAAATTCAAAAATGTATTTTCTTTTGTATGATAATTAGAATTACAATATTATTTCTATATTATTTACATGCATACCTGAAACTATAACAATGTTTGTTTTCACTTATCTTTACAATATTTGAATAGTGATTAGGAATGGATGCATATAGGTAATCTGGCTAATGTTGGTTTAGGGGTTAGCTAAAAAGTTCAAATAACCAACAGTTAGTGAAATTAGAGAGATTAGTGCTAATTGTTTCTTACTACACTTGTTAATTAATATATCACACTTGTTAACAGTATGTTATTAAAATAGAAAATACACGTGCTTGAACTTTTTATGTATTAATTGGCAAAATGTTTGTTCCTTTAATGTGTTTGGTCATTTACTTGTTGATTGAATGCCAGCTTGGCTATTTGTCTGAGAACTGCCCTTATTGGTGCCATATTTTTTAAAATCTATATGCAGATACATTACAGCCTTTTGAAAAATATGAATTTAGAGTATGAACAATCAATTATTTTAATTTAAATCCTTTGATTTGCATATCTGGTATATATGACTAGTAGTGCAAAGTTCTTTTTCTATTTGCCATTTTATAACATATAAAATTTAACTTTTTATGCATAAGAACCAAGTCTCTTATCCCTTGACTAAACTTAAATATGACCACACTATAGAAGGAAAATTGTATTACCAAAAAAAAAACTGCAGTTAACTGTAATAAACATCAAAATGATTAATAATACTAGTAACAATAATAAAGTTTAATGGCATTCCAATTAATAATGACCATATTATAAATTTTTTGGTGTAAAATATTTTTAAGAAATTAATGGTTATTATTTATTCATAATAATAACAATAAGTACACAATTGATTATGAACAATACTTCAAAAATAAACAAAAGTGATTAAACTGCTACTTCACCAAGGGTTTCTCAGCTCACACTCAAATATCTAGCAAAATTAAGGTACCCCTCCTCCATTAGTACTAGTGCAACTGAATTGTTGGCATTTCCATCTGAATTATTTCCAGTGGAATAGACCAGTATTAGGATTAGATGGTTGGTTGGGGGTTCAGGAAGCTGACTAGTATTAAGGGTACTTAAATTATCTAAATTTTTATCATTTAAAAATTTTTCAGGAATGCCGTAAGCAGGATTTTCTCCAGCATACATTTTCATGTGTCCAGTCAATTTATCTTTACAGTATCAAGTGTTTGGTTTTCCACCAATGTGACTGTGACAATGTCTGGTAAGTTCATCTCTATCTTTTATATAAAATCCTTGACCACAGAAATCACATGGATATGGTCTTTCTCCTTTATGTATCATTGAATGATATGTTAAGTGGTTATTCTGGGAGGAAAAACTTTCTATCACAGTGGGTTTGTCACCAGTATGTACTCTCATGTGATCAAGAAGTTTGTAACAATAGCTAAAATCATTCAAGCTTTATAAGCTGCATTAATATTCAGTTTATGAAGACCCAAGTAGGCAAAGAATACTTTAAAAATGAATATGTATGAGGACTCTTTCCAAAGATATAAAATATTTTTTGCAAATCTGACAAGCTAGTTCTTTTTCCATTTGTATTGAGCTGATAAATGAACTTATAATCCAGAAGCTGCTTTAAATAGTACTTTGCATGATGAACAAGACCAGAACTTATCTTTCATATTCTCATTATTTCTTTTTCCAAACTCATTATTTGGAACTTTGGTCTGAAGTTGTAATCCAGTATCAGATTACTTTACTTTATTTTTAATATAATTCTGCAACTGAACTTGGGTTGGTTACGTTGTAGCAGCAGCATCATCATTTGCATGGAAGTTTGCTAAATGAGATCTTGGATCAAAACCAAGGAAAGCAGTTGGAAATAAGAATATAGAAGTACGTACAGCTTATTCAAAGTTGTAGTTATTTCCTTCCCTCACAGGAATGGGTGAACAGCATTTTTGTTAGAGAGATTTATCTGTTGTTGGTATCAAGTGCTTTGTTTTCCTGTTAAACAGGAAAACAAAGCACTTGGTACCAACCCATTTCTGTCATTTTTCCACCATTGCATGGGTGTACTCTATAAACATTACACAATAATTCAGACCCACTAAAGCTGGGGATTTGGTAGGTGATGTTTTGACTCAAGATTGTCTATTTGGTCAGCAGTATTATCTGCTCCTTTAGTGAAGCAAACTCCAAGAGAAACTGGGAAAGAGATGCACCTAAAAAAAATTCAAATAATAAAGAAAAATTTGGATTTAGTTCACCCATATAGACCTGTTCAGGTGTCAATTGTAAAGTTCAGTTCTTCACGCATAAGCACCAAGGCTCTTACAGTTTAAACTATATAATGTAAATTATTACATTTTATTACCACAATATATTTTAATAAAATTTTATTACAGAAATCATCTAAATGTAAAACAAAATACATTTAAAACTACAAACGGTAGATATGAGTTATTAAACACAGAAATTCATTTACATTTACCAATATACAACAACAACAAAGATTCAGTTGTTATACATACATTCAATATTAATGGCAAGCTAAGGACAAATTTCACTTTTTTTTTTTCCTTTCTTTTTACTTAATATTTAAATGTATTTTCTGAAATTTTTCTTTATAAAATATTGTACAGTAATTGAATAAATGGAAGCCCAGTAATAGTCTGTACAGAGACTTATAATAGAGAAGTTTTCCATTTAAAATTTAAATGGTGTTACGACTAAGAAACCCAAAATAATGGTCCCTTTAAAGAAATTTTATTCATTGTTCGATGGCTTTAACTCAATTTACATATGGAAGACTGGATTGAAATGGGAATTAAATTTGACACAGTTTTTGAATTTCATCCTTAAATATAGATGTAGAGATGGATTATTAATTTTATATCAGCTTTTTCTAAAATTTTTACCTTGAATCTGAAACCAAAATTCATCTTTATTCCTAGAGATAAATTTCAAATTTTTAAAGACTATGGAAATTCCAAACTGTTTAACACGTATACATCACTATAGCTTTACTGATAGTGCTATACATATATATATATATTATTCTAGAATAATTGGAATATTATACAATTGGCACTTTTGACTGACAGAAAAGATACATATGGCATGCATAATCGTTGCCACAATCCTTCTTATAAATGTATTAAATTATCTAAATTCCAATCATGGTTTGGAATTAATGATGCCACGGATTGCGAGCCTCTCGTCACTAAAAAGAAAATGGTCTGTAACATAATCGTTGCAGTTCAATGCTTTAATATATAATTTTGTCAGTGCATGTACTTTTTTGATGCAATTATAAAGAGAATTTAAGTAATGCTGTGTTTGTTTCAGATGCAAGAATATTCATTTTTATAGTAAAATTTTATTGCAATAATGTATAAAATGAAATAATTCAACTCTGATCTATATTTGGATTTAAAATTTTTAGGGTAAAATTTAGAAATGTTATATTACTGATATGTTTTCTTGTAATGTTATTTGAAATTATATTGGTTTAGCAAAGAAACTTTCTTAACGTAACTCCTACTGGAATTTGACTTTGTCTCCTGATGTTAATGTTTTGAATCTTTTGGCCATTTACATATCTTTCTTTGTTTTAGATATACGGATTTTGTTTCTTCTTAAAAGAATATTTAAATCTGCGGGATCCTATCATTTAAAAATATATTATCAACTGAATGATATTGCAAAAACTGCTAGAGATCAAATTTCTTATTCCATTGTACTATAATCAACTCTTTGTACAGCCATTGATCTATGTAATGCATAACCAAGGATCACAATAATTGCCAAAACAGTAAGTGTACTACCAACAGCTATTGGAACAGTCTCATCTTGGGCAAATGGTTCGGGCATTCCTCCTATCCGAACTTGACTACATCTCTGGACTGTAATGAAATTTATATTAATCTCGTATTTTTATTAACAATATTTTCCTTTTATACAAAGTTATTTTACCTTGTGAAAAACCTCCCTTTGAAATTCCAAATGGTTGAATTCTTACATCTTGTAGTCTGGCTGTTGCTACTTTATCTTTCTTAGTATCATATAATGGAATTACTTCAGGTGATGGGCAAAAGTAAGACTTTCCTATTGAAGTTTCAAATTGAGTGAGGTTATCTTCGCTTCTGGCTGTCTTACTACCCGCTTAAAAAATTACATATGAATATTAATAAAAACTTGCATTTATTGAATAGTTTAATATTTTTAATAATGTTTCTAATTTATCATTTTAAAATATAATTATTGTAATGCAAATGATCACTTATTTAGAAATTACTTTATTGAAAATTATATGTATGTACAAGTTCTTCATGCTTTGTTGGGTAGATTCTGTATATCAAAGGCAGCAAAACCAGGGGCCCAGACTCTGTTATTTGATTTTTTTCTTCATTTGTTACAAAAAATAAGCACAGGAAAAAGACTTGAATGTGATAAATGCACATACACACATGCATATAAAAGGTCTGATCAAAACGTATCAGACCTTATTTTTTCTTTGCAAGCTGGGAAGGAGACTACAACTCTATTATGTGTGTATGAATTTTGGCAAACTGTCCTACCCCTCAGTCACTATCAGGCAGCCATGATAGTTGCATGTTTATACTGTTATTGTTGCTTTAATGATTAAGTGAAAATGGCAGAATGTAATTGATTATCATCTTTTTTCACAAAATCTGGATCTGAGATGAGATCTGGGTCTACAGTTATGTATGATCTTGAGACAAAAGCACAATCATCCCAGTGGAAAATGCCATGGTCTCCACAGCCAAAGAAAGCATGGCAATCATGCAGCAATGGTGTAAGGAGTCAACTCCAAACCATTTTATTTTGGGGGTTATTTTTAGTTAGTTATTTATATTTATTTTGGGGCATTTTATTTTGTTAAGGATAGACTACTGCATCTCACCCAGGCAAAATTCTAAAATGAAAACTCGCCTTACTATGATGACTGCAGCAATCAATTACATCATTGAACCCAGAAACGACATCTAGGGGGAAATTTCCACAGGAAGCTAAAAGAATGATCTCCCACCCAAATTGTCACAAAAATATCTTCATGATCAAGAAAGATAGAGGTGAGGTTTTGGAACCTATGTGAGAATTTTGTAAAATGTTGAGTATGCAGATTCCATTTGCATAGACAAACAATAATGACCATATATAGCTGCACTTGTCAATGATGTAAAAAAGTCATTATCCTACATGATGGGCATTAATGTCCATGAAATGGAATTTGCACTCACAGTATTTTTGATCTCTGTACCTTGACAGTGAAGCTATTCATCACATGGAATGGTCAGCAAGATTTCCACATCTAAATCCTGTAGAACATGTGCAAAATGCTTTAGGAAAATGACTTGTATCCTATTAGCCTCTATCAAGAACATTATACTGACTTCATGATATCTTATTCAAGAATTGGCTCTGCTCTCAAAAGATCTGATAACCAACGTTATAACTAGCATTAGCAATGGCTGTGCAGTGTGTATGCATGCATTCCAAAAAAGAAGTCTGAAATTTCAGGAATGGTGAACTGTATATGTTATCTAGTCCCAATTTATATTTTTCCCTAGGTATTTCCCCTCCACACACATACTTCTCCCATTGTTTTGGCAATAAGGCTATGTCTACAGATGTCTATGTTTTGTCAGGTACCAGAGCCACTGCTTGACCAACTCTGCTAAGAATTCTAAGTGAATCTTCTGTTTCCCAGGGCTTCAAAGATGGTTGGAAAATTCCTAGTCTATTTTCCATAAGTCCTTTGATCATCTCCACTGTGCACAGGGCCATGCTTAAAATATAAAATTACTTCAGTTTTTTAATAAATATTAAAAAACTGAAGTAATTTTATAGGAAGAAAAAAGAACTGGCCTAGGGCTGTTCTTTTCTTCCAGAATTTTCTAAATTATTTAAAATTATAATTATTAATTTAGATAAGAGATGGTGCCTAACATGTACCTCTACTAGCAAATTACTTAGTATTAATTATTTAAAAAATTAGCCAATTTATAGCCGGAGTATTATAAGATGATTGTTTGGCTATGTATCTATATATTTTAATACCTTATTAAAAGTAGCCTATGATCACCAAGAAATGCTTAATTATAGGAGTCTTCACTCTTATAATTATTTTTCAAGTGGTAAAGTAGGTATAATTTCAAAAGATAGATTGTCATAAAACATTTGTGTCTTTAAGATAAATGTAGAATCATCACAACTTCTATCTGATAGTAATTATTTTGTATGGACTTGTATGTCTAATGATAGCAAAGTTATTTTTCTAGCTAGATGTACATGTACAGTACATGCATGACCCATTCTCTTCTTAAATTTTCATCACGTGGAAATGAATGTAACTGGAACAGTCGAATACATGGACAATCTCAATGCATCATGTTTTCGTGTGTATATGATACACACGAAAACATGATAAACCACTTAGATAGAACTCTCTGGCTATTATGGCAGCCAACCACTGCACAATATCTACCTGAACTGGTTTTATAAGGCAAGTCACCAATGAGAAACTAAAACTTTCAGACCTACACTAACAACTAACAGTTTCATAATGGTTGCAAAGATGAATGCTCTTATATGGCAGAGTTCAAGAACATGTTCTGGAAACTTGTGGATTGGTCTACAATTTTTTCAAATTGCAGCCTAATAAAGTGTGTACTTTAGAACTTGGTTTCTGACTCTGCTTCATCACTTAATGTACAAGGTATGATTAGTCTGTGCAATCAGCCAACTTTGGGCTACATCAGGAAGTGATGTTATCAGTTTAGTCAAATTACTGCCTAATATCAACATTCAAATTACTGTCAGGATATATAACTGGTTCCCTAAATTCAGGATTTAGTCATAATTTTTTATTTTAATCTCACCTTCAATATACACATCAATAATTTAAACAACTCTCCATTTGCAGAAGAATGATTTGGTTCAATTTTAAAACTGTTTATAGCATAAAGAATGTTTGCTGCTGATTTTTCACAATATTCAACCCTAAGTGTTTGGTCATCTGCTTCTCCTTCTCTATTGAAAAATTAAATTCCAAAATCTCTGAAATGAGTTGTTTTTTTTAGAAGAAAATAATTTCACTTGCCTCACACTGATTCATCTGATGTTGCTCATATTTGTCTTGGATTCCCTGATTTTTTTAAACCTGTTACATACTTCAATATATTAATTATTTACTTATAAATACTATAACTGCATGCTTCCTTCACATTATATTAGCTTAAGAATTCCTTCTGATCATCCTAGAAATACTATAATTTACAGACTATAAAACGCACTTTTTTCTTCGAAAAATTGCCTCCAAAATTCAGGTGTGTCTTATACTCAAAATTAATATAAAAATGTCCAGTGTTTGATTTAAAATTCCCGCATCTTAAAAATGGCCATATATTTGATCTCTATCTGGCAACATTGAATTCAACTGGCAGCAGCAGTGCACTGATGCGATGAACATGAGTTGCGGGGTGTCGGGATAGAATCGTCTGGATGTACGATTTCCACACTTTTTCTCTTTTCAAACGAGCAACGGTTGTTGCCATAGAAACTCGGATCACGAGACAACCGGTGGTTCTGAATCCACAACTGCGGATTGGCCAGCGATCATCATGCGACCATCGTACAATCAGCAGAAGTCCGATAGTGCTACTAAGCGTTGATTGGTGGATCAGCATTTGCTTCAATCCGTATAAAAGGATTGAATTTAGGCAGTAAAAATGGTAAAAATGTTATTTTTTAAAAAAATTGCTTAAAAATTAAGGTGTATCATATAGTCCGTAGCATCTTATAGTCTGTAAAATACAGTACTTCATGTCTTTACATTCCATTCTTGTCACCTTAGTATTACAAGTAAATCTTTCTGTTATATTAAAGCCAAATGATTAATAGATTAAATTGGGCTATGTTCACACTACTAGTAATTAAAAATTCTGAGTAATTTAGTATGAGAGGTAAATGTTAGATGCCACCTATCATCATCAGATCTTGAAATGTTATATATATATATATATATACACAGTAGAATCTCCTTTTAATGGATCACAGAATAACATATTTTTTAGAATAACAGATTTTTTTCTCCAGGTTCTGCCAAATCAATGTAATTTTACCTCTTTATAGTGGACCTGTAACTTGTAATAACATATTTTCTTCTATCTCCATCTTCAGTAGACATTGTATTTTTTTCAAACTTTAATTAATAATTGGATGTTTCTGGATACTGAATTAAAAAATATATATTGAATG